CCCTCCCCGGAGGGGCGGGGCCGGCCGCTCGCCGTGCTCGAGCCAGGCGCGATCGTGGTCCCTGCGGTCCCCTGCGCCCGGAGCAGGGAGGAAACGCAGGAAGGGGCTCTTGTTTTTCAGGGGACCGTGCGGGGGGACTCATTGTGTCGGGCAGGGAAGGAGCAGGACTGCACAGGGGAGGATGTCTCTTTACACTGCCCTCCCTGCTCAGGGAGAGCTATTTTTAAACCCAGCGCCGAGGCAGCAGCTGGCGTTTCTGCAGGGCCCGTCTGGCTCGGTCCGTCCCTGCGGGATGCCCAGGCTCCGCCGATGTCCCCTGCACCTCTCAGCCGTTTTTGGGACTGCGGAAGCACGGCGTGGAGCCTCGGCTGGAGGCCAAGCGAAGGCTGCGAGCGCTCCCCTTCTCCCCGTGTCTCGCTGGGGTTCGCTGCCAGGCGGTTTTCCCCGTCCCCCTCGCCCCGGCCAAGGTCACAGCGGGGCTGGGAGCTGCCGGCGGGCGAGCACTGGAAATACAGCGTTTCCTGCGCCACGAACGACTTCCTAAGGCAAACAACCGGGGCTGCCAGCTCTTATCGCTCCCCTCCGCCGATTCCTGCCCGAACAGGGCCCCGCGGTGCTGCTCGGCCCGGGGCACGGCCTCGGACTGCTCTTGCACAAGCGCAGCCTCAGAGCTGCCTACCCCCGAATCCTGGTGGGGAAGAGCGCGTTCCCCTGGTTTCAGGGGCTTCCCGAATGTTTTTGGTGCACTGTTCGAGGATGCTGTAGAACTGACGGTGCCTTTTTCTCCCCCTCTCCAGCAAACTGCGGCACCAGGCGCAGAGCGAGCGGTTCGGGTACAAGGAGGTAAAGTCGAGAGTTGTTTTCTGCGTCTACCCACAGCGATTCGGGGCCGAGCGGGCGGTGGGTGCAGGGGGGGGACACAGGCAGCGGGTCTGATGCTGCTCGTCCCGGCTGGGTGCTTTTGAAAGCGGCGTGATGGGACACGCTGCCCGCTGCGCCCGGGCTCAGCTCAGCTCCCACTGGGGCTCCTGGCAAAATCCCTGCTGACGGTAAATCCTCTGCCTCCTTTTCTCCCTCAGGTGGTTTTGAAAGGCGATGCCCGGAGGCTGAACCTGCACGGGGTGAGCGGTACTGGCTCTGGGCTGGGAGGGAGCTGGGGCTAACGGGGACGATGCTCTGGGGCACATCCCCTCCGCTCCGGGGGGCCAACGGCGG